CTTTTGTTCTACTTTTTACCTTATTCTTCCTCATGTACCTACCCTATTTTAATCATTTATGGTGTTTTATTTTCCTGTTCAATAGTTATTTTTCATTATTATTAATGCTCTTATTTCTCACTGCTTTTTACATTCAAATTACTTTCTTGTTATTTTATTCATCCGCTCATCTACTTTTGATAAATGAACTCAAATACAATAAAAATAAACAAATGAAACTGAATAAAGAAGATAATTCAGGGTATGAAAGAACATTGCAGTGAACAGGGATTCTGAAGAAAAAATAAGCAGAAATTTTGCAAATAAACAGCTTAACAAGAAAACAAACAAAAAGCAATTAAAAGGCTCACCCCAGCCTAGATCAAGCAGAAATGAAAAGAGAAAGAACACCTCCAAATTCACTCTGTTAATTCATTTTTACTTTGATAAAATCAGATAAAGGCACAACAATAAATAAAAAGTTCAATATCAATATCTTTGTGGAATATTGATATAAAATTTTTACAAACATTGGTCAATAAAACATTTAAAAGATTATCCACCATAATGAAGTTTTATGCCAAGGTTCAAAGAAGGTATCGTATATGCAAACCAGTAAATTTAATATCCTAAATAAAAATAATCAGAATAAAAACACACAATCTTTTCAATACATATAAAAGAATATACTTTGATAAAATTTAACATTATTGCATGTTGGAACCTTAAGGAAAGTAGCTATTCTGGGATCTTCCATATAATTAAGGCTACATGCAACAAACTCATAGTAATATACTGAATAGGAAAATTTTTAAGTATTTCCTTTAAAATTATGAATGAGATAAATGTACTTATCCTTATTGCTTTTATTCAACACAGTACTTAAAATTTTTCCAAAGCCATTACATAGAAGAAATAAATAAAAGGCATATAAACAGAAAAAGAAAAAATTCAAGTTAATTATGTTTTAGGTGATGTAATACTGAACTGTACAGCAGAATACTTTTAGATCTGCTAGACAAATTCAACAAAATGGTGGAATAAAATAATCAACATGTAAAAACCAGGATTTATTTATATGCCAATGATGAATTCACCGAAAAAGAAATCTAGGAATAAGCAGAAGGTTGAAAAACCTCTAATATAAAAATTATGAAGTGCTGACATGATAAATTGTAATAAACACAAGAAAATGGAAGAAACTTCCATGTTCATGGATCATTTGCTACAATCATAGTATAAAAAGCGTTCTATAGGTTCAATTAAATTCTTACTAAAATGCCAATAACATTCTTCTCAGAGCTTATAAGAATAATTCTAAAATTTACTTCATATACAAACACAAAATAACAAGATAGCCAAAGAAATTAGGAACAGAAAGAGCAGAGTTGATGTTAATGAAATATCAGATTGTAAATTATACTACAAATCCATAGTTAATAAAATAAAAATAGTATGATCCTACACACACACACACACACACACACACACACACATATATATATATATACATATATCACAAAAATTTTTAACAAATATAGTTATCTGGCTACTCACAAAGACATATGTTCATATGTTAGATAAAAATACAGCCTATTTATAAATACTGCTAGGAAAACTGCATACTCTTATGTAGAAGATGAAATTAGATTCTTATCTCTCATCTGAGAGAACCAACTCAGGGGCCAGGAATGTAGCTCAGCGGCATAAGCGCCTGCATGGCAAGAGCAAGGTCCTGAGTTCTATCTCTGGTATCACCAAAGAAAGAAATAAACAGCTCAGAATGAATCAAAGGATGTTGGTATAGAATCTGAAACTATGAGACTAACAGAAAAAACAAGGAAACACTTGAAGTCACAGGCACATGCAATGATTTTGTGAATCAGTAATTTCAATTGCATGCAGTAATTTCAAGAATGATTTCTAGTAGCACAATAAATAATATTAAGAATCAGCTAAATGAACTACATCAAACTGGAAAGTTTCTGTACAGTTGAAGAAAGAACAGAGTAAAGCGCCAGGGTACAGAATGGGTACAAAGCTCTGCTAGCTAATTTCTCAACAAAGGATTAATATCAAGAAAACAAAAATAACTCCAAGCTGTAATACCCCCCCCACAAAGAATACAGTCACTGGGGGAAAGGGAGACATACTTATGCAAAAATAAGTTTAAAAAGACCAGTAAATGTAAAGAAAAACTTTTCCACATACTTATCCACCAGGGAAATTCAAACCAAGACTATATTAAGATTCAACTTCATCCCAGGCACAAATGAGGGGCACTTCTGGGTGATTAATGGAATGCAAATTGGTACCAATTAGGTTGCCTTGTCACATGTTTCCTATCATCTTTGTGAAAGCTTCTGATCATTTGTTTTCATCTTGCAAATTTATACTACTTGTTAATAGGCTTGTGAGAAAATCTTTGTGTTGCAAATTTGTCCACTCACCATGTACTTGACCTTAGTGGTCGTTACCTAGGGTCCTTCTGTTTCAATTCTTTCCCCTCAGTTATTTTTCAGTACAGTTAAACACACTTGTGTTACTTTCCAGCAACACAGAACAAAATAGTCCACCGTACCACTACAGTCTAACCTGCGAGTGTGGCGCGGGCAGCCTGCTGTACCATAGCAGCTACTCAGGAAGAAGAGGGTCACGGGAAACCAGGGCTATCTTAGCATGCCACGCTAGAAATTCATCGCAGTAAGAGACCGTGTTAAACTAGAAATATATCTTAGGAGGTGTGAACACAGAAGGTTTCAGAAGCGATCTTGTGCCTTCATTCACTGTTTGAAGAACTGAGCTAGAGAATGCAGTGTGATTTTGTGTGGTAGGTCTTTTTTAATTGGAACATAAGCACGGCCTCTGTTTTTTTACCCCGAAAAAACTACATAATGCTAATTGGAAGATGCATATAATCCAAGCACAGTAAACTTTTTCAGTAGACAAGCCTAGTTCATCTTCCCAAATAGTTTATATGTCTGAGATGTCTTCAGCTATCTTTGTCCTTTTGAACTACATGTTACAATAATTTTTAATTTCAAATCAGTGTCTAGTTTTCTTTCACATCCTCTTTTAATAATAAAGGAATACCCTACACCAGAAACAGGAACTCCTGTATTTTCGTTGGATTGCAAACAAAGCAAATAAATTTAGATATTATTAAACTCTGCAGGCTGAAGTTTTCTTAAAGAAACCAATAATTATACTGGTGTATAGAAACCCTGGATACTTTCTTTTGAACTCTGTAAATTGTCTGAGGACTCCTGTACTGTGTCTCATTTGGAAACCACTAAAAAACTTTTTGGCACAGAAGAACATCCCAGGTAGAGCTGGGTATAGGGGCACACACCTGCAATCCCAGCACTTTAGAAGGCTGAGGCAGGAGAATCGCAGTATGAGCCCAGACAGGGCAACTTAGTGACTTAGTGGGAACTTGTCTCAAAATATCACTAGTATCCATCACACATACACCCACACCCACACCTACATACACACATACACACACAATAAATATAATATAATGTAATATAATGTAATATGATAATGAGAGAACTAGGTCTAAATAGCAGAACTCTATCTAGACAGCTGTCCTGGGAGTGGTGGATCACTTAGATGATCAGCTGTGTCTCATTATGAGCAGGTAAAGAAAGCTTTACTTGCTTCATTTCATTACTTCATAGTAGGACTCCGAGAGGCTGCCTTGAGTTCTAGGATTCAGTGGATCCAGTCTCCCTTGTCAGCAGCACAGAAGGCCTAGTCCAGATCTCAGAAACTCCCAGGAACACGCACAGGACCCTCAGGCAACTGCACTGCACACTTTGGCTGCTGGTGTTTCCCGTGATTCCAGGGTCTTGCTGTCTTGTTTAAAGTATCCGATGGGACAATTGATGAACCTGAAAATGCAATATTTATTTAAAATAGAAGAAAAAAGGAAGGAAGTAAAGCAAAGTGAAATGTGAAAGGTAAGTAAAGTGAAGAAAGGCAGAGCATCCAGGGCAGTCTGGTGCAAGAGCGAGAGGGTGGCAGTCCCCTGGGGTGTGTGACCCCTGTCATTTCCATTGTCTTCTGACATCAGATCCTGACCGTGATTCTATGACTCTCCATGATTGACAAGTCATGTCCTATTGTCCAACTTCCCTGCCATAATCACCCAACTCAGTAGGGAATTACCCCAGAGAATGCGAAGACCACAGCTCAGGCGCCACTGGTGCTTTTCTTTTCCCATATCTACACCTCCCAGAATGCCCAGTCAGGGGCACCTGGAGTTCTGCAGTCACTGTTGGCATATATAAGTCTATTGATTTTGTCTTCTGTGACTCTGGACCCCCACAAGATCCACAGATAGTTGCCTCTGAGGATGAAGATGTCATGCTTCCTGTATATTTATTCCGGGTGTCAGGCCCTGAAAAGGAGGGTTAGAAACCACAAGAAGGAACAAGAATGAGAGAACTGTCATAATTTGGATGCTTTACACCCTATATTTGTTATGCCCACCTAATTCCACTGCGGTATTGCAGTATATAACCAACAGAAAATGCAATAAGATAGTGTCAGCATTCTCAAAAGTAAGGACTGATGTTGACATAAACTCTGAAGTTCTTCACCTTGGGAACATGGTCACTGTCACTGAATATTTACTCAGGTCTGGGACTGGCCTTTTATTTTTCCATAATTGCTCATTAGACAGGGAAGAGTCAAGGGAGTCAAGGGAGTGGGTTTTCTCCAACCCCCTCTTCATTTGGTCCAAAGCCCAGTATCTTCTCCTCAGAACCAATGCCCCACTCAGATCTGTACCGCAGCCCTCCAAGCTTCTCTGGGCAGACTGGCACAGAAAGGAGGCTTCTTGTTTACCACATCCCGTCTGTTCCTTCTGAGCATCTCCCTTCCTCTTGTGGGAAGCCAGGCATCCTTGGTTCCATTAGAGAAGGTTTGGGAGGTTCTGTCACATGTAAAGCCTCTCGTCGTAGCCTAGACTCTGAGGGGGAAGCAGCTGGCCCTGAGCAGCTGAGGGGTTTTTGTTATGGTCTGTATCTCTGTGTGAATGGAAAATTGTACCCCTGCTGACAGTAATAGGTTGCAGCATCTTCAGCCTCCACACTGGAGATTGAGAGGGAGTAAGAGGTGCCAGAGCCACTTCCACTGAAGCGAGCTGGGACTCCTGAGGCCAGGTTGGATGTTCCATAAATCAGGAGCTTTGGAGAGGCTCCCGGCTTTTGTTGATACCAGTGCAAGTAACTGCTGCTTATGCTGGAGCTGGCTGTGCAGGTGATGGTGACCTTCTGCCCCTGGGAAGCAGCTACGGACGCTGGAGCCTGGGTGAGCACAATGTCTCCATTGGATGCTATGGTCATGGGGGAGGGATGGAAAGAGAACTTAGTACAAATAGGCATGCAAGATTGTCCGCAAATCACCCAATATATAAAAGCAATAACCAAAAACCTGTCCTAATCTCAACTTCTATGGCTAGAAGGACATTCAGTTTTGAGGTTCGCTTCTTTTTACCTGTGACACTGAGCATCAGGAAGGTGAGAATTTGAGCCTGAAAATCCATTATGCTTTCTGAGCTCTGCCTCAGGCTCAACAGGTGTCTGAAAATCCCCCCTTAAATAGAACTCTGAACATTTTTTGTGGTTTCTGAATGAGCGATATGCAAATCAGCAGGATGTAGGCACTCTCTGGCTTATGCATCCATGCGATAATTCAGCTTTTTTTAAATAAAAATTAGAAATTGCTATGGGAGAGGGAGGGATGTGCTCAGTCTTCTTCGCTGATGTGATACACAGTCATGGTTTTCGATCATTATATAAATAATTTGGTGACAATGCTACTTTGACCAGAATAGCAAGGAAAATTCTACTGGACAGTACATGAGGTGGATTTTCTCTGAATAAAAACCTGGTAGGATGACTCTTTGAGATGTCTACCAGAAAATCCCAACCCCAACAGATCTGCCTCCCTGTTCCCTGGATGCTGCTCACCTGAGACTTTGCCCATCCAACATGGTCTAACACCAATAAGTACACTGAAAACTACCATCTTATCATGTGATCCAGAGAAGAGAAATCCTCAAGGATGTTTATGAAAAGCGCAAACAGTTTCCATCTGGAGCAGAAAAACCACCTGTTATGGTTGGTGTCTAGATGTCTCCCCCAAGTCTCCTGGAGTCATGGGGTAGGCTTCTAGGGATTGGGATTAATTCATGATCCAAATGCTGGGGTTGTGGTTATGAGTGCTGCACCCTCAACAGAGGGTGCAGAGCCTGAATGCAATGTAAGGAAGGGTCAGCTCTCTCCTGCTGTTCCTCCCTTTTTGCTCCTGCTCTTTTGCTGTTTTCTGCCACCATGAACTCTTTCCCTTTGCCATGCACCACCCTGCCTCAGAGCCAGCTGATTATGGACCAAAACCTCTATAAACAGTGAACTGAATAAACCTTTTTCCCCCCTTAATTTTGGATGTCAACCATTTTGTTCAAGCAGTGTGAGAAAAATAACAGACAGCATCTGACACTCAAGCAAAATAAATCGTTCTGTCTGAAAGTGAGGGAACCTCAGTTATTGGCTCTTTATCAACCTTGACTTCTCTAGTTCTCTTCCCAAAGTGAGGTTTTACTCAAACTTGGAGTTTGAAGATCCCAAAGACATATTCAGAGTAAACAAGTACTGTGAGGTCTCAGTTGGACATCACTGTCCCAGCACCCAACCTGTTTGCCAGCACAAACATTGTTCTCAGGAGAGTCTCAGCTCTGCACCAGGGCTGTCCTTAGCAATCACAGGATGCTATGAAAGAGAAAGGGTAGGAAAAGGAATCTTACAGATTCCAAGACATCTGAAGTCACCCCCAAATTTACATAGATGCCTCAATTACTCTGTCCACTGAGATGCAGGACACCCAGAGGCTGTGGTCCACTGTCATTTATTCACATCTTCCCATCTAAGGTCCCTTGACTTATTTCAGTTCCTCTAAAAAGGCCCACTTCTCTCTGTTCCCTATAGGTGGCCTTCTTAGCCTTGCACCCAGGTACTCAACTATGTGGCTTTTTGCTTTCCCAAAAGCCTGTCCAGTGATCTCTGCCTCACTGCTCCTTATGAGTACAAATTAATTTTTATTTCTTAGACAAATTATGAGCAATGTTCTCTTACTACAGTGTTTAGGTAGATGCCATTCTTTTTCATCTGGTTGTGCTAGAGGATAGTTTTCAAATAAGGTATGCTTCCCTCATTAAAGTCTGAGCTACAGTACCAGAGGCAGATAATTAAGAGTTTGAGCAAAACAAGTTTGTCAACAATTTTAACCTCATTCCTAATTTGTATTGCAGTTCTACATTGATTGAAGGGATTCCAATGCTGCAAGGAATCATAGCAATATAGGTCTAGTTATTTCTCAAGGATGTGAAGCTGCCACATGAATTCTCTAATGAAGGAATTCTAGAATGGTTGGTTACTGATTTGCAAAGATGAGGAATAAAAACAAGGTAGGGAATTTGTGTGCAGATTTCCCATGCTCAGACACCAGTGTCCCAAGTGCTCCTGAGTTCTTCTGAAATCTTTACTATTTCCTCATAAGTTAACTCAAGACTCTGAGCTACCTTTTTTTATCTTTTCAAAGTAATTCATTCTATAGTTTTACCTTCTCTCTTTTTTGAAAAGTTTAATGTTTTATTTATCTTTCAAAATGACAGAGATTTCTTTTTTATCTCACCAGTATAGACATTAATGCTTAAGATCACACAGTAGAATATCATACAACAGTAAAGAGTAATGAGCTATAACATGTGACACCACGGGTGATTTTTCACAGACATGAATTAGACTTTAAAAAATCTCACATGACTAAGATCCAAAAGAAGAAGCTATTGCCTTGAGATGCATGCTGCAGATGAGGATACAGTGAAAAATGAAGAAGTGATTATACTAAAAGTCAAGATGATCATTTCCTTTGAGATAACTATGTGGTAAATGAGTATGTATGGTTTTTAGTGTTGCTATGTTTTATATGTTGGCATGTGTAATTACTTCAAGTTAGGACTTTAAAAATTTAGCACACCTAGTGTCCCACATGCTGAGCCAGGCCCCTAGGGTATGCTGAGCTGGGGAACGAGTCTGGGCAAGGTGGCGCATGGCTGTAATCCCAGCACTGGGGAGGCTCAAAACAGCAGGATCACCATGCGTCCAATCTGCATAGTGAGACCCTGTACCAAATACACAAATGAAAAAGATATACAGCACAAGTGGTGATTTAAGCTCAACAAATGCATCTACACTTTACAGTTGAAAAGATTCAAGGTCCAGCACAGGTCTCATGGGGCTAAAACCAAAGCAGTGTAAGAGCAAGAGCTCTGCAGGTCCAAATGGAACTCTTGTCACCTTTGGTGACGCATGTTATGCGTATGTCACAACCACAAAAATCTGACTGGTAAATATTGTTTACTGTACTGCTCAATGAATGAGTGACAAGAGGAGCTACTAAACACCACTTAAAAGTACACAGTTTTCAGCTAACTGCAGGGTTTTTGCATATGGATGTGGGCAGAGGGGGGTAATGACAAAATCTATCCAAATATATTGTAAGAAACCAACTACAAAATAAGAAAACGAAATTATTGTAAGAATTCAACTATGCTATATTATAGAAAATTGAAGATTTTGGCAGAACAACATCATTAAAGATAAATAACTTGGATTTATATAAATCTCCAAAATTGCAAGCACATTGTGAGGGCTACATGTTGGATAAAACAACATAAAGTAAGTGAAACATTAGATTAATTTTGTGGAAAAACATAGTCCTATAAGAAACATATTTGACAAAAGATAGTGAAATAAAAGAAAAATGCAATATGAGATTCAGATTCAAAGGTAAGATTAAAATATTACACAAAAATGAATTAATGTGACTTTTGGTGTAGACTAAAAAGGAAAGAAAATATGCAAGTGACTGATAATCATGAGATACAGAAATGTAGATAGAAAGAATTAAAAATAGTTGTTGACACTTAGGAGAAAAATAAGAATATAGTAGAAGAATAAAATTTAGAAAAGACCCTCAAGCATATAGAATGGATTCAAGAGAATTATAGATGCAGAAATCAAGCAAATATATTTAGATAATGGACGTTTACAAATTAGATACTGACAATATAATGATTCAATAAGGATGACAATATAAATATACATATGTCAAACCATTTCACCACAATAAAACATATAATTATATACTTACATTAGACATGAAAATTAAACATTATAAATTGATGCAATTATATAATGTTTAAGTGAATATATATCCAACTTGGAGGCTAAGAAGAAAAATTAATTCTAAAATAAAATAAAAACAAATGCAAAAAAGTGAGAAACAAATTAAGACTTGCAAGTAGTTCTAGAGGTGCCGGGGAGATTGCTCAGTAGAATAAGCACTTGCCTGGCAAGGGCAAGGGCCTGAGTTCAGTCCCTGGTTCTGCCAAAAAAAACCCCAAAACAAACAAACAAACAAAAACCCCACCAACCCCAAGTAGTTTTAAATCTGTGTTGAATATGAACTATATATTGTTACAAATTAATACAGAAGAAAAGGAAGAGAAAAAAATCTATAATAAAGATAAGCCATAAAATGGTAAAAAACGAGGGCCGGCAAGAGAGCTCAGTGGACTAAGTGCCTGCTTTGGCAAGCGTGGGAACCAGGGTTTGATCTGCGGTCCCACAAGCTGTGCCAGCCTTGCCCCCCAGGGTGCTCTGAGGCACAAGTTAGTCTGGGCATGGTGGTGCATGCCTGTAATCCCAGCTCTGGGAGGCTGTAAAGAAGAGGATCACTATGAGTCCAGGCTGCGTAATGAGACCCTGTACCAAATACATAAGTGGGAAAAAAGAAGAAATGATGATAAAACCACAACTAAGTTTTTTTTTGTTTGTTTGTTTTTCTTTTTGCAGAACTGGGGATTGAACTCAGGCCCTTGCGCTTGCCAGGGAAGCGCTTATTCCACTGAGCCATCTCCCCGGCCCCTCACAACTAAGTTTAAAAATTAAAAATATCAATTTATTGGACATGATAACATTTGAAAATGTTTGATCTGCCAAAATTTTCAATAAGAAAGTTGTACCAATGTTACAGATTTATCATGCAATCAAGCAAATGATCTTTAGGGTAATTATCAGAAAATCAAATTTTACTGCTATATGGAAACCTGGTCATAAATTTTCATAGAATCTTTACTCATAGAAGCTAAATTTAAGGAAACACCCTCATGTCTTTCTGCAGGTAAAAAGTTAAATATACTGCTTTACACCAAGAACATGACCTAACGCCCAGCAATGAAAAGTCTCAAACTATTGAAATACACAACTTCCTTAGATGATGACCCTCAAAGATGTCAGACTGAATGAAGATGCTATCAACAGGCGCTATCCACACCACATCTACTGCATCTTGGGTTATGAGTGCTGAGGACCTACCCCTGGTGTCTGCTGGACAAGTGGCCTAACGCCGACCACCAGCCTGTAGACATGCTGCCTTTCATGCAGTGGTTGCTAGAGGGCTGAAATAGAGAAGCAAACATACATCTAGCTCCGAAGGTCCTCTAGGCGCTGTGTGTAGATGGCTCCGTTGAGTATATTGATTGTTCTGGTAGCTACAGAAGTTACATAACTGATAAACTCTCCTAGAGACATGCACACATACAGCCAAGCAACAGCCCCTTCTCTGAATGATGCAGTTGAAGCCTCGATTGTGTCAGTAATGTAAATCCATCTGTCTGAAAAAGTCTCAGTGATGCAAAAACTCCTGAGCATGGTAGCACAATGCCAAGAAAAGGTGATTTTAGAGGCATCAGGTCACAGTTCCTAGTAGTGAAGAATCAGGGCAAGCCACTCTCAATCCTCCCTCGAGACCTGCACATTCCTCCAAGATTATGGTGGAGATGTCGATGGTCTTACAAATGAGGGAGAAACAAGGATGAGCAGGAAGGATGCACCTGGTGTAGCAAAGACACTCTGACCTATGGACTGCGGAGGTGTCCAGGGCTGCAGCACTGGGGGGGGGGTACTATAATTTGCACATAGTAATAATCTGCTGCACCTTCAAGCCACAGGTTGCTAATGGTGAGTATGAAATCTGACCCAAGGCTGGTGAGATAGCTCAGTGATGTAAAGCGCTTGCTTAGGTGAGGTTAGGCAGAGTGCAGGGACTGTGGATCAAACCCTGGCATCACATGCTGCACCAGCCCAGCCTCAGGGCAGGCTGAGCCTGTCACACAAAAGAAAAAGAAATCTGACCCCCAGATCCACCAGTGCTGAATTCGCTCAGCTGGATGCCAAGGAATTGAGCAGTGGAAGAGCCTGTCATGGATTCTTCTGATACCAGGATAAGTAAATCTTCTGCTTGGAGCTGGAAAAAGACTCTGCACTTGCAGCTGATGGTGGCCCCTAACGTGAAGACACAGCCAGGAATCATGGAGACTGCGTGATCATGTCTCCCCAGGCACCTGGAATTAGGGATTTACAGCACATTTAAAATGTACTGGGCCGGCCAAATAGCTCAGCAGATTAAAAAGTCTGCAGGCAGATGCAGGAACCAGAAGTTCAATCCCTGGACCTGTCATGCCGGCCCCACCCTTGAGGCACACTGAGACTGAAATTGAGACTGGGCATGGTGGTGCATGCCTGTAATCTCAGCACTTGGGAGGCTGTAAACAGGAGAATCACTATGAATCTGATGTAGTAGTGAGACACTGAATACCCTGTAGACCCTTCCCTAAAATACAGAAAAAAATAATGTAATTAAAATCAGAAATTTTGAGTTTATTTACTAAAAAAATCAGACAGATTTATATAATTTTTCTTCTACATGATAATGCCATCTTTCACTTTTAAGTAATTACTTTTCTAAATCTCACCATCTGAGACCCAGAGTACTGAGAAGAAGGGGAATTGGGACAGTGACATCCTGCCTCTGGTCAGCTGTCTCAGCCACTCAGCCCTGTAGCTTTCTGCGAAACTGTAAAGTAATTAAAAGAGCACTTAAAAGTGCCATCATCCTAGAAACTGTGATTATATGCCCACAAGTGGTGACTTTCAAACTGTAACTTTCAACAAAATTTCCAAATTTCTTACAAAACTGCTGCAGTCAACTTGAAAACAAAATTACATTTGTTGGCTTTTGCTGTGTTAGCATATGATTTCAAAACATGTATTGGAGCATCCAACTATGGCGTCAGAATGCAAAATATACTTACACCACTGTATAGCGTTAGGAGAGTACACCATTTATATCTCTGTCCCAGGTTCTTTTTCTATTTTAAATACATATTTGATGCTCCTCTTTGGTATCTCTCTCCTAGACATCTCAGCCAACACCCACCCCCTGCGTTTCCCTCACAACAAAACACGAACTCAGGAAATATTATCACTTCTTTAGGAATCACCCTGTCACTACTTTTGATTTTCACTTACTTTCCCCACCCCAAAGATTTTGGGTTTATTATAGGCTATGTTTGAGCATGCTCATCAACTATACACCCCAAAATACTTCCAAAGTGTTCTTGATCTATGAACTTCACAAATGTTTCTTTTTTTTTTTTGTCAAATGGTTTTGCAATATAGTAATGTTAACCTGGGCTCATCCAAGCACTTTACATTCGTAGATTACTCCCTCAGAAGAGTATTCAGGAGCATCTTATGTCGTGGCTTCTGAGGCTAGAGGAGAGTAGGGCTCTGGCAACCCAAGTCTTCAACATCCACACTGGTGAATGCCTCTTCTCCAGCTTGCAGTGCAGTTACTAAGTACCATGCTTGATTCTTCAAAATTCTGTTTACATCTTCTCAGAGTCTACATCTAGCCAGATTCTTGGATTAGCTTTTGTAGCTCTGCTCTGTTGACAAACAGAACTCAAGTTTGCAGGACTGGCAATCCTAACATCTTTCATAAGCATTCACTTCTACATCTTTGATTAAATTAATGGTATGCTATAAATTTAATTGCTTTCAAAAGTGTCCTTAATCAACTCTGGCTGTGATGTACTTGTCTCACTTTCTCAATGAACAGCTCCTTTGTTGAAATCTCTGTCACTAACAGGTGCCACAGCTCCCCCTGTGGGTTGTTGATGAAATATCTGGAGTCCTGAGTCCTGGTAGAAGAGCAATTTTTTGTTTAACTGAAAATGAAATTTAAAATACTTGTGAAATCGTACAAACAACAGGGCAATTATTTCTGTATAACAGCATAAAATAAAGAGTACCAGACCAGGACTCTCTTGGAAGAATGTGCTTTGAGTCAAGTGAACAGAGCCTCTGCCCTCCTAGAACTTTCACTTGAAGTTGAGGAGGGTATAACAAGCGAATGCATCACCGTTCTGCAGGCATTCCTGCTCTGGTCCTTGGAGCAATGGGTGTCGAGGTCCATTCAGTGTCTCCTGCTTGCTCAACAAGGACAGATTCTGAGGAACAGGGAACAAGTTTAGGCAACTGAGCATCTGTGTTCCCTAAGTAAAAAGCTCAAATATAGACTCATTAATATTCACTTACTCAAATCCTATTTTGATTAAACACATTGATGTTTCACTGCACCGCGTCTGTAAAGCTAGAAACCACCCAACATATGATTCTATAACATATTGATACCGTACCTGCAAAGGAATTGGAGCCGCTCTTGGCAGAGCACCTTTTAGTTTTATTTATTTTATTTTTTAATGCATTTAGGACACGGTGTATAGGGTATACCGGGTCTCACTATGTAGATTGGGCTTGTAGTGATTCTCCTGTTTTCAGCCTCCCAAGCGCTAGGATTGTAGGCAGGAGCCACCCCGCCCAGTCTCAATTGCTGTCTTGGAGCACCCTGGGGTGGGACCTCCACTGCACCCTGGGAATTGAAGCCTAGTTACTGCGCTCTGCTGAAGTAGGTGCTTTAGTCCACTGAGCTATCTGGCCGGCACTAGAGTTTAAATTTATCGGGCCGGTGAGATAGCCCAGTGGACTAAAGCACATGCTTAGGCAAGC